TCTAAATATATCTTTTAACTTGGAGATGAGATGAGATGGAGTTTCCTCCAAAGCACATTCTTTTAGATTGTGGCTATTTAAATTTTAACCAAAAGGGGTTTTTTTGTCTGATTGCCATAGAAAGAAATAGGTAGGTGGTTCTTCTATGTCTTGTTGTTTTGCAAAAACTGTTTTACTTTGGCTCTTAAATTTCACTTTGTATTGCCTTCCTTGGAGTGGATGGCTAATGTAAATGGTAGAAAGCTGGCAATGGAGCATCACAGGCCTTAGTAGGTTCTCCTAGAACAAACAGGGACCTCCTTGTTGTTCTTGGCATGCAGCTAGCATTAATTGTCCCTTGAAGCTTGCCGTAGGTCAGTCAACTCTTGCTGGGAGCAAGCCACATCACATTTCTTAACTGATCACAAATAATACCTTCAGAAGCAATACATAATTAGTAGCTCACTATTAACAACAACAACATTGTAGGTTTTCAGTAAAATACCTTGAAATTGTGCACTCCTCAATGCTACCTGGTAAATCCTCACTGAAGGGTTGAACATAGAACCTTGAAAGAGATGGTTCCTCTTTCCCTCATGAGGTAAACACAATGGACATGTGAATTGACCTATTCATTTACCTCGCACATTTGGAAATGAGATCTCCAACTGCATCCCTGTGAAACTCTTTGGATGCACTCACTCCACATTAAAGTGTTTACAACATTTTGGTAGTTTATTCTCTGTGTTTTACTATAAAATTGGTCAAGTTTCCATGAGCTGAAAGAATAGAAAAAGTACATACTTTTACTGAGAAAAGAAATTGATTATGGCTTGGGCACCTCATCAAGGCCTTTCCCTTTGGCATATACAGTCTGTTGCCTCAATTCTCATGGGTAACATTTATTAATACCTGTTCTGTGCTAGAAACTATGCATAGAACTTCAAGTATAATCCACGCTTGAGTTTTTATTTTATATTCTTAAAAACCAGTCCTTTTTACAACAACAAAAGATTTAGAAATGGAAGGAAAGTAGAAGTGCCTAGAAGCAATCTGACCAAAGCGTCACTGACTGAACCATTTGAACCTCAGTCTCCTCAGCCTTGTGACAGAAGAACAAGGTCGTGCCCAGCCACCACTCCAGAGCTTCAAAAGGGATCACAGCAGAAGGTCCTTGAAAAGGGGGACACTCTGACCAAAACTCAGACATGAAAAAATGTCCTGAGCTAGTGGTATTACAAAGACGTGAAAACCTAGAACTGTGGCTCAGTTTTCAGCCCAACAATAGGCCTATAATGTCAATAGTAACACCAGGGAGGTACCCACTTCTTACAAACACCAAACATACAAGATTAAAATGGAAGCAACTGCCCAGAAATAAAGCTCAGGAGGCAAGAAAGAGAATAGAATTAATAGGAACAAGAATCATAGGGAAGAGTGTGGTTACATTGTAAGTGTTGTAATTAATGTCACAAAAGCAAATGTGTATTAATTGTTTAGTACCAGCAAGTTGGAGCTGTCTCATAACTGACCCTCCAGCAGTTTTTCAGAGGCTACAAATTACATAGGAGGAGATCGCCCATATTTCTCCTATGGAACAGCTGGGAGATTCAAACTACCTGCCTTTTGGTTAGCAGCACAGCTCTTTACCCACTAGGCTACCAAGAATTCCAAGTATATGAACAGAAAATTAATTTGTAAATGTCACTCAAATCATTGTTTTTAAAAACGAAATAAAAAGATATTAAAGGGGGGGAAAGCAGTGGCCCGTGTCATTTAACCTATTTTCTGTGTAAAACTGTACTTAAAAAAATTACTTGCATGAAGTCAATTCTGTCTCATGGAGGCGTTAAGATCCTCCACATGCCTGTCAAGGCTGTGATCCTCAGAAGCAGATCACGGAGTCTTTCTTCCAAGGTACCTCTGGGGGGATTCAAAGCACTACGTTGCATTCACACAATGGAATACTATACAGCACGCAGGAGCAATGACTTTGTAAATTATTGCCTAACTTTGGAGGGACTGGAGAGCATTATGCTGAGTGAATGAACTCAGTCCCGTAAGGACAAATACAGTATAAAACCATTACTGTAGAATGAGTATAAGGGTCCAAGAGGGATGAGAGAGGCTGGAAGCAGATGGATGTGGTTGTGCAGGGGTAGGGAGGGATTAATCATGGGGTTGTACAATTTGTTGGGTGGGGGAATGAGGGAAATTCAAAGAATTGTTCTTGAAAACACTGCATTTAAACAGATTAGGGAGAGAACAGTTTAAAAGTGATTTATGATTGGTTATTATGGTCATGACAAGAGTCAAGAATGAAGGCTGCACCCTGGAGTGCACTGGGGTTGGGGGGGGACTGTATACCAATGAAAGAATTTACTTTTCAAAAGAGAAGAGCGAACTGAGGGAGGGGGTGGGCAGTAAGAAAAATGTAACAATGAATGAATGGAAATCCAAAATCTCTGTAAATGTTCATTAAAATTAATAAAATTTAAAAAAACAATGTATTTGAATTTAGTAAATAAACTAGTAGAAAATTGGGGGGAAAACCCAAACCCCAAACCACCAACCTTTCAGTAAGAAGTCAGTTGGTGCCACAAAAGGCACTGCCAAAATTGTCCCTACCTCCCTCAAATCAATTAGGGTCTCACTCTTCAAATAAAAAAATTTTCAGAATTAGCCTTGCAAACTCCTCTCAGTGTATTACACACTTTTATCATAGTCTTTTTCCCCAGGGAAGGATACAAATTTTCATATTATACTCCATGCATTTCAGAACAACTATTGTATTTCTTTCAACTTTAAACTTTTGTGTGATTTCAACAAATAATGTTGTTTTGTACTGTCAAGTGGGAACCAACCCAGAGCTGAACTTCTAGTGGGTTTTCAGAAACAGTTAATCACAGGGGAAGAGATTGCCCTTCGTGCTCCCCACCAAGCAGCTGGTGGATTCGAACCATGTGCCTTTGGGATTACAGCACAGCTTCTTGCCATTAGGCCCCCCAAGTTCGTTCTGTTACAATTTCTGTGTGATTTCAACAAGTAAGAACTATAATAGTAAACTTTTTGTGAACATCCTTTCCAAGATTGTTTTTAATGCTCCACACTTTGCTTTCAACTTCAAATGTTACTCAGTTCTCTCACATTCCATGAAAGGGTGGAAAAAAACCCAAATAGGTATTATTTTTAATTATGAAAATATACCCAAACGAAACTCAATGGCAAATGATATGTAGCTGTCTTTGGAAAAAGACTTCACTTTGGAAAAGTTGGAGGAACAGAGAAAGAGAGGAAGATCTTTAAAAAGATAGATTTACACTGTGACAGTGGGCTCAGAGATTGTGAGGATGGAACAGGGATAGCACAAGATTCAGATCTGTTGTTGTTCATAGGGTTGTTGTGAGTTGCCGACCCAGTGGCATCTAACAATGACAACAGCTCAAAATAGCTTCAAGTTAAAAATGAGGCACACTTTTCCAATGATCCTTAAAATATAAAGAATATTATGAGGGCAAGTTTGTTTTTACAGAGAAAATTAATTTTATAAAGACCAACTAACAATTTATTCTAGCATCAGGGGATTTTCAACAAAGTATTTTTCAAACCATTTACCCTATCATGGATAAGACAATAAATATTTATTGAACGTCTATTTTGTCTCTCAATTTAATAAGTAATACAAACTATGTACATATCTTTTTTTTAAAAGGGGGAGTTCTGGTGGCATATTCCATAGGAAAATATACTTACTACTAATGCAAAGGCCATGCTCTGGTGGTTCAAATCCCCAGTAGGTCTGTAGGAGAAAGATGAGCAAACTCCTCCCATAACTTTGGAAACCCAATGAAGGATCAGCTGAGAGTTGGTTCACCTTCTTCAAGCCTTATGGCAATTGTTGTTGTTGTTATGTGCCGTCGAGTCATTTGCGACTCATAGCGACCCTATGTACAACGGCCCTAAACCCTGCTCTATCCTGTGCCAATCGCATTGCCTCTGACACACCCATCCCAATTACACCAGTCACTGAATCAGTCCACTCATAGAGGGTCTTCCCCTCCTGCGCTGTCCCTCCACCCTACCAAGCATGATGTCCTTCTCCAAGGACCGGTCTCTCCTCACAACATGTCCAAAGTATGTCAGACGAAGTCCCAGCATCCTTGCCTCCAAGGATTATCCTGGTTTAACCCTCTCCGGGATGAATCTGTCTTCTTGGCAGTCCATGGTACATTCAATACTCTTCTCCAGCACCACAGCTCAAATGCATCAATGGATCATATACCAAAGCACTTTACATTTGTTAAGTACATGAGATAAGGTGAACATATGAAAAAATATAATTCTACCCAAAAATATATAATAGCTCTTCTTATGCTCCACGTATTTCTTAAGACCTGATTTGTTCTCTAAATAGTGCTGCCTTCTTAAGAAACTTGATTCTGAATTTTTAATTTATTCTAATTGTGTCCTTAAAGATAAGAATCTAAAGGCATTTTACCTGAATTAACTACAAATTATTGTGATAGCTCTGTAAATCAGAAAGCTGAACAATAACTAGGGATGAAAGAAGGAGAATTGATACCTTTGAGCAGTGGTACTGGAGAAGAGTATTGAACACACCCTGGACTTCTAGGAGAACAAAACAGGTTCGTCCCAGAGAGGGTGAAACCAGTCTGCTCCTTGGAGGCAAAGATTCTGAAGCTTCGTCTGACATACTTTGGACATGTTTGTTGCAAGAATGGCCAAGTCCTTGAAGAGGGACATCATGCTTGGGAGGGTGGTGGGACAGTGCAAGAGAAGAAGACCCTTAAGACGGGTTGATTGAATCACTGGGGTAGTGGGCGTAGGTGTGTCAGACAATAAGGTGGGCACAGGATAGAGCAGGGTTTAGAGTTGTACATAGGGTCATGATGAGTTGCAAGCGACTCACTGGCACATAACAAGAACTGTAAATCGAGTTGAAATGCTGTGCTTTCTTTGACTCTCATTAAGATGGATCCTTGTTTTCTGTTATACTTCAGAGTCACCAGACATTGGACCTTCCCTGGTGATTCACACCACTGTCCCTTTTGGAGTGAAATACTTAGAACACAGCACTGAGGATGTGCAGGAGTTAATCTTCAAGCAACTGCAAAAGATTTTGCCAGATTTGCCACGGCCGATTGGTGTCAAGTGCCAAAAGTGGAGATTTTCACAGGTAATCAAAAGAGCTCAGTGGTGTGAGTACAACTATTAAAACAACAGAATTTACTTTTTATCCTTTGCCACTTAGTAGCAAAAAGTGTATTCTTTGGAGTAAATATGTAAATGCCTAACATGTAAGTGACAAAGTTCTCCATACTATATTGTCCTTTTAGTTTTCAACAATGTCTTTACATTTTTCTCAACCTTTTGTTCAAATTCCAATACTTCAAGACTGATACTCTGAAAATCTCTGGCTTCTTATGAAGATGTAGCAGAATGTGTACATAAAATGCACCTGTTTCTCTGAGGTGTTTGGAAATCAGAACTGTGGTTAGATAGAAACCTTTATAGCCTCCTGCATTTTTTGCAGTATGTCAGATTAACCTTGCAAGTGTGTTTGTCTAGAATAATTGTCATGTTTATCAAGTTCCCTGTTTGGTTTTGACTGCTGTCAGCAGTGGTATTCGAGACAGAAAGGCAAACCCGCATGCAACAGCAGGTTGAGAGGGTTTTCAGTGAAATCTATGGATGATTCTATCCGTTCAAGATCAAAGGTTTTCATACAAAATCAATATTGACTTTTCTGAAAATCTCTGATTCCAAAAGAAGTTTGTAAGGATTCATAGAAAATGTCTTTTGATGTAAAAATTCAATTTTTAAATCATTTGGGACAATGGAGCAAAAAGTAGAAGAAGCAGTGATTTTTTTTCCCCTGAGATTTCTGGGCCTGCTCATTAACTAGTTTCCTATGAAGGAAACTCTGGTTGCCTAGTGGGTAAGGAATTGTGCTGCCATCCTAAACGAAGGTGGTTGGGATCCACCCACCACCCTTTTACGAGGACAGTTGACAGTCTCCTCTCATGAAGTTTTACAGCCTCTGAAAGCCCATGGGAAAGTCATCTATGAGTCGATTCCAATTTGATGGTCCATAACAACATGTACTGGATGAAACACTTGACTGTTAGTCATAAAGTCAGCAGTTCAAACCTACTAGCTTCTCAAATAGGAGAAAGATGTGGCGGGCAGTCTGTTTCTACAAAGATTTATAGCCTTGGAAATCTTATATGGGGCCATTCGACTCTGCCCTAGAGGGTCACTCTGAGTTGGAATCTGTTCTACCACAGAAGGCATTACATAGCCATCACAGCCAATTAGGAAAAAGGTTGTATGGGAAATCATAGCTGATCTTGTGTATTTTAAAGGGCTTTCCCATATCAGAGGAAATTGTAAAATATTTCCTAAAGTAATGCAGTGTGCTTATGTGTTTATTCACATCTTCAGTTAAATTATCCTCTGAACCTTTAGGGAAAATATTTACTTAAAGATGTCATGGTTATTTTAGAAAAGGTTTCTTTTCCCTTTTACAAGCTTTGAAAAAAATCTCAATAGCTAATGTTTTTTAATGGAGACTTGGTGGGGTGGTGTGGAATGTCTTGAGCAGTTAATGAATATGTCATTGGTCTGAACGTGCCAGCCACTCTCTAGGAGAAAGGTGAACAATTTCTTCTCATAAAGATTTACAGTCTCAAAACCCAATGCAACATTGCTATGAGGAGAATTCATTTCAGTGACAAGGAGTTAATGTCTTTCAATTAAATTTAATACAATTTCATGTTCTTTTGAAAAAGAAGGGAAATCATCTTGGTTTGATTTCAAGTTATATGTATTACATAGCAACTCACACTTTCCTGAGAAGAAGGAGGAATTGAAGAGAATTCCTGCTGTTCTTTTCTCATAATTTATTGATAAACTGAAAAAAAGATTACCTTTTAAGAAGTAACTGTATTTTAATGTGTTAACAAAGGTTTGTCCTAAACCGAAAAATGACTTCCTGTTCAAAGTTGTGCAAGGTTAAAAAAAGGTAATACAAAATCTTTGAACACAATGTACTTCCTAACCCTCGCAATGATTTTTATTATAGTTTGGATATACTATACTCCTTTGAAATTACCCTGGTAATATTTACAGCTCTGTAGTCAACAAGCCTAAAACCGTCAAAAGGAAATAAGTTTTCATTTCTTTCATGAAAGTTTCCTTTTTCACTATGTACACACTTAAGTGCCTTGAGCATCATTTAATGTAGAACTTTATAACATTGTCATTATTAATAGCAGAGATCTTACCTATATTGTGTTTGACCTTTTTCTTTTTTCTTATGCAAATGACAAGCTCTCTGCAAAAGGAGTACAGGAGATCCAAGGACTTAACAGCATTTAAGTTCTGGTAGTTAATTTTCAATGCCCATTTTCAAGAAAATGTTTCTCCAATGCTTTTAAAAGCCCCACCTTGCCTATATGCTCAAAACACCAGAACTTCTTGCTGGTGGGTCTAACCAATTCATAGCTGACTGGCCTGCCAGTAGATTTTCAGAGGCTGTAAATCACATCAGAGGAGATTGTCCTTTATCCCACAGCACAGATGGTGGATTCGAACCGTCAGAGAGGCACTGCCTTTGTGTTAGCGTGCCATCCCTCCACTTTCCCAAGCATGATGTCCCTCTCCAAGGACGAGTCCCTCCTTGCAACATGCCCTAAGTATGTCAGACAAAGCTTCAAAATCCTTGACTCTAAGGAGCACTCCAGCTTCACCTTCTCCAGGACAAACCTGTCTGTTCTCCTAGCAGTCCACGGTATATTCAATACTCTTCTCCAGCACCACAACTCAAAGGCATCAATTCTCTTTCCATCATCCCTATTCACTGTCCAACTCTCTGATGCATAGCACGTAATTGTGAAGACTATAGCCTGGATCAGGTGCACCTTAGTCTCCAGCCTGACGTCGTTGCTCTTCAATACTCTTGAGAGGTCCCTCACAGCTGACTTTCCCAATGCAATTCGTCTCTTGATTTCCTGGCTGCTGTTATCAATAGTGTTGACTGTGGAACCAAGTAAACTAAAACTGTTAACTATCTCAATCTTTTCACCATCCAAACTGATGCTGCCAATTGGCCCAGTGGCGAGAATCTTTGTTTTCTTGATGTTAAGCTTCAATCCATATTGAAGGCTGCAGTCAATATAAAATCTTTTCCCTTTCTTTTCCAGTGCATGCAACCTACCTTCCATACATTCATGGATGAATATGATCTAATACTGTGTTTAAAGTGGAAGGACAGACGGTGTGGGACCAAGGACAGAGAATAAAGAGGAAAAGTCAACTGATTTTTAAGTTTTCCCCCTTTCTAGCTAGAGATACAGTTCCACTGCCAGCAAACCTACCCCAGCATTCCCTCTGTATTTTACACCAGCTCTCGTGCCACTCTCTTCTTTTCCACGCAAACCTCCGATCCTCCTACACTCCACTACCTTCTGTTTCTTTCCATTCTCTTAGAAGTAAAAAATGAATCCAAACCCTTACTGTTATGTAAGCCTAACGAGACCACAGCCAGAGCATTGTTACCTCCGCCCTGGGTCATGGTGGATGATGTTAGAAGCAGAATCAGGCAGAACTGAGGACAGGTAGGACAGAAGGGATGTTGAGAAAAAGCTCATGATAGAATGTTAAGTCATCAGAATCGGGGAACAGACAGCATTAGATATAGTGCCTCAGACCTGACATGCACAGATTAGACTGTCCCCAAGGTAGTGTCTTTGGTGCATAAGTGAAGAGCGACCACCCACATCATCCTTCTGGCTCAGACTCATGCCCAGAAGTACATCAGACTGAAGACAGCCGACTACAATGAGAGACGGCACATGCCTTTCCAAACACCTTCTACCCTTGCTTCTGAGAGTGTTCCATCTTACTTTTCAAGATGTACCCCCTAATAAACTTCTCTCTTCTCTCAACTATGTGCTCAAACCAAGACTTGATTCATGCTGGATTTCTTCTTTCTGAGTAGAGCATCACCAGGCTAAACCCAGGGACTCATCATTCACTGATCTGTCTTTCTCTTGCCCTTCACCCGACTCAGTTCTTTGACCAGTCAAAGCAGGGCTGAATTTGGGCACTCAGTGAGTCAGGTGTGATTCCCCATCCCAGCTCTCAAGCTTGATTCATATTCTCTTCATCCTCTCGTTCACTTCTGTCTCTCCTTTTTCTTCATCTTGTGTGATCATTACACTGATCATTACTGCGACACCCAGAATCTTCAAAGATTGGAGGAAAGATGAGAAAGAAAGGGAAATAGCAATAATGATCCCAGAACCACTAGGCGATTCGAATGTGGGATCTCATTTATGATTTTACTGGTTTTAAGCAACTATAGAGCGAGAGCAGTTCCTGAGTGATTTAAACGGTTAACACTCTCAGTGGCTAACCAGAGGGTGCAAATTCATTGGGTGGCACCGAAGAAGAAAGGGCTGGCAATTTATTTCCAAAAAAATCAGCCCTTGAAAACCCTCTGTAACCAAGTTCTACTCAGACACACACAGGGAGGCCATGGGTATGAACCAACGTGGGGAGGAAAAATCCTCAAAGTAACTGCTTTCAAGTCAATTTAGCCCCATAGCAACTCACCATGAACATCCCAGTGTGTAAATCTGAATGGGAAGAAACCACCCATCTTTCTCCCCTGGGGATTCACTGGTCAATTTGAACGACCACAGTCAACTCATTCTCCCACAGACAAGGACACCAGAGCTTCCTACTAACACACAGGTAACTTCTTAAATATGGGTTTTTTAACAGTGAGAAAATGAAGCTTCAAAGAAATTAGCCTCTCAGAATCTCATGGCTAAAGGTGGCAAAACCCTGTTTCTCTGACCCTCTAGCCCATCTTTGTTGCTTGCTCTCAGTACCCTTTGCTTATTATACGAAATCTCCACATTCTCACTGGCTTAAAACTACATATATTTATTATCTGATGATTGTGAAGGTCAAAAGTTCCAGTCAGGTTTTGCCCAAGGCTGTGTTCCTTTCTGAAGGCCCTGAGGAGAACCTGTTTCCTTGCCTTTTAGAGTTTCTGGAGACCGCTCCCATTCTCTACCTCATGCTGATCCTCTTCCATTGTTTGAGTCCTTCTCACACTAGACTAGTCTGACCTCTGTGGCCTAGTTCTCTTGTGTTTAAGGACCC